AAGCCCGTACTCGATGCCCTAGTTTAAACCTTACTGCCAGATCTTAAATTTTAATTTTTCTCCAATAATTTAATTTTAAGGCAAAACCAAATGTTCATTATGAAATATAAGGCAAATTGCCAGATCTTGAGTAAACTTGTGTTTGATGTAGAGTGAGAATATCATTTTTGAGTTGTAATGTAAATCCGAGTATTTTCTTCAAGGGACACGCAACAAATAAGCATGCGGAGCAAAATCTGTGTCAGACGACTTTTTGTACAACACTGCCAATGCAATTCGCATGTCAGACTAATCTATGGTCTCACCAAGATGTCTTTTTTACGTCCCAAATTAAACAGTCCACTTACAGGAAATATCAAAAATAAGTGTAGGTTAACCAGAATGTTATGACACGGAATAGAAAAAATTTAGAAAGAGTTTTCATATGGCAATCTCGATTTGAAATCTCTCATATGACTGGTGACTACGATTGAACAATTTTGACAATTTGAATAAATTGTAAATTACGCAAATATCCAGATAAAAAACAATGTAACAAAGACAATAAAATTGATTTACTACTTTAAACTCGAATAATGGAGCTGGGCAGGACATGTTGCAAGGCGGGATGATGACAGATGGAGTAACGTGATAAACGAATGTTGACCAAGAAATGGTTACAGAAACGTGAGACGTCCTGGAGCGATATGGGGAGACGATATCATCAAAGACGCAGGGGCAAGATCACAATGGATGGCCCAGACTACACGAGCTTATACCCAGCACTAGGTGAAGCCAAAAAGAGAATGATTATGAAATATAGATCGGTGTGCGTGGGTGTGGCATATGGTCCCTCTCCCACCGATCTCTCTTATCCTGACATTTTAGTCATAACGAAATATGTCATACAGGGTCAAGAGCACATAAATTTAACGTCAACTCTATGCAGCTTGCGATAAGCACCCGAAGATCAAAATGTCAAACTTGATGTGCTCTTGACTGTGCAATCTTACTCAATTTTAGAAACCTTATTATTATATTATTCTTCACTAATGGTCGTATCATTTTTTTAATTTTTTTTTTATAATACCAACTGAGGGACTGAACAATTCGTGCGCCTGGTAGTAAGCGACACGCCTATCCATAACAATTGTAGTGTCGTTCAGAGCTTTAAATCGCAAAGATTACGACTTCTCAACTTATGTCTCAGGGTGCCGGCGCAGTGACAGTGCCACTAAGATCTTTGCGATTAAGAACTCTAAGTGGCAACTGCTTTGGACAGGCGTGTAGCTTACCATCAGGCGCACGACTTGTCCGTCCCGTCACTTGATATTATAAAAAAGACGGAACGGTAATAGGTAATGTGACAGTATTTCCCTGGACAGCTCTTTCATAAGGACCTCTACTGCTACGTCACATCTGCCGTTGTCATATCGCTGCCTTTATACAATTACGCGGTATTGCAGAATATTACGACTTCGAAAAAGAAACTGAAGCATACACTCTTCACTCGTTTAATACCGCGAACGGAAAATAACGCGTAACTTTCAAAACTTTTTTGGTAACTGTCTATGTTATTAATTGTAAATTATTTCGTTCTTCGGGACAGGCTAGGGCGTCTAATTGGTACCGCGCGATTTTAGATTTAAATTTTTCTTCAATATTTAAATTTTCAAACATTTATTCACTGGAAATTGTTGACTTTACGCTGGCCATTTTGATACTCCGTTCAATGTTATGTCGCATTTGACATCTAAAATCTTCAGGTCTTTTATCAGGCACCATTTCATTCAGTCATTTTAAATACTCATTTTCAAAAAATTCTCAAACATTTACATTCGTTTATGTAATTATTAGGTTCTTTTTACTCGTATTTTTAGTACTCACTATTATAAATAAAAAATTATGTGTTTACATACTTCATGTATTACAATGACTTGCACTATAAAAACTTATAGAAACTATGCTTTCAAAATTATAACATTATGTTGTCATTTGCAAATGTCATTTGTCATCAATATTCTCTAATGTTTTCCTTTACTGTAATTTTGACTAACGAAAAAGGTTTACGATCACTGCTTCTTTGTTTTCGTTTTTTTTATATTTTTATTAAAACCAAGTGCATTTATCAAGAACTTTTTGTTTAATAGCGAATGTTCATTTTCTCATGGGATTCTAGGAATTTTCCACATGCGTAAAACCGGCTGCGCATCACATTGTCGGTTGTCGCGTCACTTAACATTATTTTAGTAGCCTAAACACAAATACGCGAACTATTACTATCTATTTAACCTTGTTCCAGTTTTGGTGAGACGTTATCACATACTACCTGGTCGTTGCAATCATTATGAAAGTTATCGATGGCACAAGGTTAACCAGGAGTGCCAGATTAAAATAATTAAGAATTATAAAATAGGGTGTTTGACAATTTATGAAAATCAAATGTTTTTTATTAATGTAATGAACTAAAATTTTACGTAAAAATCACGACATAGAACATGACATTCTGATTCGAATTATGTAAATAACTTTTTCCATCAAAATTGTAAGCTATTTGCATTTGTGCTTAAGTTCACTAAGCATGCACAATAATTGAAATGCATTAAATGCACTAAATAGACATCGAGAAATCGGGACTGAGTAAGAAAAACAATGCTTATTTGTGACGTCATAAACGTATTAGTGCCATACAATCTGCATAATAAAGATGTTAAAAAGGGAACGAGAATCCCCCACCAAGTGGTGAAGGTGAAGGGAGCGCTCGGTTAAAGTCAGTAATTCTATCACTAAAATCTCTAGTGTTAGTTGACATATCGAATAACATATTTCATATTAATAATCAGCGTTCTAGTGAATTGAATGAGGCGAGAAAAAAATTTGAGTCAAATACCCTATTGTTTCTTCTTGCCCCGAACTGGTTTATCTAGAGACAATCTATCAATGGGCTGGTTTACATAATCGTCTGCGGAATATTTTAGGCGCGACAAATATTTACCACCTTGTTTTTTCTATAATAGTCTTTATCGTGTCTTAGCTATAATAAAAATGCTAAACCACTGTCAAAAACAAACGTTATTTAGAAGTAAAAAAACCAACAGAACTGCAAGTTTCCTAGTATTTAAAAGTACAGTTTGAAAAAAAATCACTCAATGAGACATAGTAATTTCCTTATACCGAAGTTGAAAAAATTGTTTTCCTGTTTCGGTTGCCAGAGACAGCGAAGTGGGGGGCGTACAGTGACATAGTAATCAAATCGAGGCTTCGGAGCTCGTAACCCCTGGCCAATCTTAAGGCTGATTTACTTATTTGAATAAGATTTATTTATTTGAATGGTCATCTAGGCGGTTCAGAGTGCCGTCTAGCTACGCGATTACAGAGTAACGCTATCGAACAACCGCGAAATTGCTAAGAAAATAAAAATTAATTCCTTTTCTACGTGGAAGCTTTAGGCTTTATCCAGAGTGGATGCGGGCGCGGGTGCGTGTAAATCAAATGTACGTAGACTCTGAGAGTCGAAGAGAAACTCGGATAAATTGGCTCGGTCTGACCGTACATTTCACAGGCTGGGTCTAGCGTTTAACGTCTGTTTGCGATTCGACGTATGGATCTACCAGCTCGTAGCCCTGTGAAAGGGAAGACGCCAAGACCCACTTGCCCGCACTCGCCGCGTCCGCGCCTGCACTCTGAATGAACCCTTAGACTTCACGGTAATCACAGCGGGCGAAATTTCAGAACCGTGTTTACATGGCGACGAAGGTTTTGTTGAGCGTTACAAATAAACCAGCGGTAGAAATTTCTTCGAATCAATTCGATATCGTGCGTTTGTTGTTTGGAACGTAATCAGTTCGTTTGCTATTTACATTTTGCACACTCAATCATAAAGTGATTCAATTCAAAATTACAAAAGTACAAAATAAGACTAAGAGCGATTACACACGGCGATATTTAGCAGCACTACACTTGAGATTTATAGGCGATTGCATCGACGCGACCGCGCGTTTGTATCGTTGCTAAAGTCACCGTGTGTATAATTTTATTTGTATCTTAACTCTTATATGTATAATTTTTAACCGACTTGAAAAAAAGGAGGAGGTACTCAATTCTACTGTATGTTTTGTTTTTTCATATCAATTAGAATTTTAATATAATATGTATTTGACACGAGGCAAACGTACGTCTAAATCTGTTATGTCAGTTCACCAAAAATATTTTTTTTTATACTTGACTTTGTAAGGTTTGCGTTTCTTTATTATTGAGTATGCGAATTGTGAATGTCTTACCATATCGCACACTGGCATCACACAACATATATCACGGTTCTTTTTTGATCATTTCTTTTGAAGTAAATACCTTTTGAATTTGATTTTTATTTGATTGAAAGTGACATTACCGTCTTGCAGACTAAATATAACGTTGATACAATTTATTTCCAATTTTTTTAACGAAAAGCAATGAAAGCTTGCAGAGTTTAAAGTGCCCGTAATAAAAATCCAAACAATATTATATATATATTTTTTTATATCAAGTGTGCCTGGTGGTAAGCTACATGCCTGTCCATAACAACTCCAGCGCCACTCAGAGCTTTCGCAAAGATCTTATGGGCGCTGTCATTGCGCCTGTCACCCTAAGAAATAAGTTGACAAGTCCCATGTGCCTGTAATTTCATCAGCACCCTTCAAAACCGTAACGCAGTTATCACGTTACTGCTTGACGGCAGAAATAGGTAAGGTGGCAGTGAGTACTTCCTTGGACGAACTCTTGCTACTAAAAAGGTTGTTACATTGTTGAAGCCGGTAGGCGATATGGACAAAATTATGTTTTTATGTAGAAAATTGAATATACTAATTATATTAATACGTTTTAAATTAATTAATGAGTTTTAAAACCACCTCATATCAGATCCTTTTCTAGAGAAACGATCGTGCAAGACAATGAAGATTGACAGTTGTGGATAGACGTCCATGTTATCGATAATATTTCTATAAATATCCATGGTTTACAAACATCCCCTATTGTTATAGGTTCGTTGATTGTTGTCGGGTCGGCGTTGATCGTATGGCTAACCGACTGGGAGTACAAATACTACATCGACCCAGCGCTGAGTATCGTCCTAGTCATCTTGATACTTGCGTCTGTATGGCCTTTGCTTAGAGAATCTGCACTCATTCTTCTACAAACTGTACCAACACATATTCAGGTGAGTTTCTTAAGAAATTTCTAGCAGTAAGTATTCGGCTACGGAAAAAAACAACGGAAGTTCCTTAAGCCTCGATCACTATTAGAATCGCTGTCGCCAAAACTGACACATTTATAATTTGAAACACTTTAAAGTCGTGATAATGATCGGTCGAAGTTTCTAATTTAAAAAGCAATAACAAAAGTTCAATACCAATTATTGCAAGTTACGACGTTTTAATTTAATGTTAAAATTTTCTATCAAGTGCTGCTGTCTAGCGGTTAATAGGTGAACGACGAATTATAGATGTTTTAGTACCATGATATTCAATTCATTTTTGTGAAATTACTCCACTAGTTTGTTATAATTATTAATACAAAGATAGAACACAGAAAAAAATTTATTGGAAATCGGCTGGATTCGAAACAGCGTCTTCCTCTCTCCTTACTACGGATATTAGGAGTAGTAGATATTAAAATTTATTAAAATAATGCTTACAGATGATATGAAACACCACCCTCGATAATATTATATTGCAAGTGCCACTGTCGTTTTTGCACTCCATAGTAGCAAAATAAGACATTTTTCTACGATTTTCGATGTTTTGCACTACCATAACGTACATAGCGAAAATGGCGGGCTGAGCTCAAGTATGTGGGACTTGGCGTGCTGTTGGCGCACATGGCACACTGACTAAGCACTTTCTACTATATTTATTGTGCTGTGTATTCTACCAGTGTATCTTTATTATTTTTATATAAAAATTGCCTTTGCATTGCATACAAATTTTCTCTTAAGTTGTTATCATGTTAATGAACACCAGCAAAAATACGTATCTGATGCCATCTTGCGATTCAGGTCTATTGGCGCTCAATATAAAGGTCGCGGGTTCAGTTTTCCGTAGGACCAATTAATATTATAGCTATACATTATGACGACATCGTTTTGCACTGTGGGGTAGACGAGGAGGTCCCGGGTTTGATTCCCGGTAGAACTAATGGAAAGTTAACTCGTCTAAATTGACTCTGGTCTGGGTGTTTTGGGTAGAGCCCCGGAGTGAATTCCTTTACTCTGGTACATAAAACAGGAAATACCCTAGTTTGAGACCAGCTAATTGATGTGGTGGTCTGGCACATTATTCCATTATCTAGGGTCGGCAGACTAAAGCACATAAACCAAGAACAAAGATCGGCAAAGACCTCATGGATAAATCCGTGAGATCTGCTGACTAGTTCCGTAGGTCAATTGTGCGAGCGATTAGCTCCGATCTGGCAAACAGTCGCTGGTTCGAAGGAAGTTTTCTTTGTGTTTATTCAATATATGTATCAATATATCGTCGGTGTTTTGAAGAAAGAGCGAAAGCGCCATTTTGAAAAAAAATTCACGAGAGCACCTTTTAAGGTTTTAACGAAAGTTTTAAAATATTTACGTTCTGTTTTAAAATTCAATTGGTTTATTTTAATTAAGTTTATGTTCTAAAGTTGAATTTAAAACAGGACCTGAATATTTTAAAACGTTCGTGAAAAACTAAAACAATCCAAAAAACATTTTTCGAAATGGCGCTTTCGCTCTTTCTACAACACACCGACGATATGTTCATTGTAAAACTGAATTATCTCCTTGTAATTGAATTTCGTGTCTTGCTTCCCTTTTAGAATTAATATTTAATAAAGAACAACCTTTTAGAATAAACATAAGAAGTCTATGAGGTTTAAGGGCAATTATCAGAGTTATTTCACATTGGTAATGCAAGATATGATCAATGTGATATTTAAGCAAAAAATATGTATTTTAAAAATATAGCATTATTACACCACTTTTGTTTCAATTACAATTCCATTATATATATATATATATGATTAAAAAAAATTATATGTACTTACTGAAAACAATCTAAAAGCATTTTTACTTACATATCTGCTTGTGAAAGAGTTCGTCCAGGGAAGTACTGCCCTTTACCTCTTTCAGCCGCCTAACTCCGGTTTTGAAGGATAAGTGTGCGGGTGAATTACAGGCACTTGAGACTTGTCAACTTGTGTCTCAGGGTGATAGGCGCAGTGGCAGTGTCTCTCAGATCTTTGAGATTTGAAGCTCTGAGTGGCACTGCAACTGCTATGGTCTCAGCAGTGTAGCTTAACACCAGGCGCACGCCTTCTTCGTCCCGTCAATTGGTATCATAAAAAGAAACTTGCCCAGATATATCAAAGCTTGTTCTTGGTGTTCAGGGTAGTGCCCTCGAAGTTGTTCACTTGCTCTGGCACACCGAATTTCTTTAAATAAAATAAAATAAAAATAAAAATCATTTATTGCAGACAATATACAGTTCATTTTGTTAGTACACTTCCAAGCTATCTGTTCTACTGTTAGTACAAAAGTTACAGAATAAAAATAAAATGAATGAATGTTTCATCGAGATCCAGGATCCGAACTCTACATTGAATTACATCGGATCCCAAAGAAAAAATTGTGTAATGCTAGTTACGTCCTTTAGTCAGAGAGGTCAATATCACAGTAAAATAATGTCATTTTCAATAACCGATAAGCAAGTAATCCAAAGTAGACATGTAAACACATTTACGCGCGCAGACTTATTCATAAATACTTGTTTGTTCAGGTGGATGCTATCCAAAGGCGATTGTTGGAGAAAGTAGATGGGGTTCTAGCAGTACACGAGTTCCATGTCTGGCAGCTGGCCGGTGATAAAATCATCGCCAGTGCGCATATAAGGTGAGTAAATACGCCAGGAACAATTTGTATAATTTTTATACGGATTTTTATTTACAAGTTGTTTTACAAAAATAAGGTATTTATTTAATACTTTATTGCACAAGTAAAACCACACACATAAATTTATTAAAAAGAAAACACAAACAAGAGGTTCTCCATTTCTAAAAGAAATTTCTTCCTACAGACCTAAATATAGGACATGTGGGCAGGACACTTGGATAAATAACGCTCCTGTAAATGAGAGTTACGTATGGAAAATACTCTCATGAAAAGTGTCTAGGAATCAAGCACGTCTTTGCTAATTACTGAGAATACGTTTATTTTGTTAATGTCATAATTTAAAAAATAAATTTAATTAATTTATATTTTTATTTCACTTTAATAGGACAATCAAAATTTAAAAAGAATACATTGCTCCCTAGACACTTTTGATGTGAGTATTTAAAGATTTCGTGTAATAGGAACTACGTTCCAAAGTCTGACCGCTTGAACAGTGAAGGAGTGAGAATAGACAACCGGAATTGAAGGATGTAAAAATGACACTTCTTTAGATTCAATACTGTCTCTTAAAATGATAAGGTCACCTTAGTTTATGCTTAGAAAAAAAACCTTTGACTTCGACTTAGCAAAAATGGAGAGCTAAGAATTGTTGTAATAAAAATAATTGAGTTTACTACGTAATTTCTTACGTAAAAGTGTGCAAAGTTAATTTGTGAATACGAAAAACTTACTCGGTTCGTAATTTTTGCTTAGACAAATTACTTGTAAATAATTAACCAAATTTTAACTTAATTTATTCATGTAAACATCACTTAACGGCTGTTAAGTAATCAGGGATTTATTGGATAAGTAGATTAGAATTAAATTTTTTGACTAAGTAACCAACTCTCACGCACCCCGAGTATTCCCCAGTAGGCGTGTCTCGAGGGTTGGAGTAGTTGGTGGTGGGCTAACGTTTTGTTTGTAAAATGTCAAAGTAGCTGTAAAGCTCATTATGAAAGAATTCGTAGGAAAGTACCGCCACTTTACCTGTTTCATTTAAAATTACAGGCATATTTTGATAAGTACTTGTCAACATTTCACACATGAAAACAAATACTGTTTTAAAAAAATACGGAATTGAGAAAACACAATTTGAAAATGAAAAGAAAAATAATGAATGGATCTTATTGCAAATAATGTGATTATTTTTATTTATACATACTACTTAATTAAACATTTGTAAACGAGAATATCATGTATATTGGTCTTTTAGTTTCTTTTTTTTTATTTTCAAATCGTGTCTTCAAATTGATAATTTTCAGTTATGACAGTATTTAGTTTCGTGTGCGATATGTCCCAGGGTGACGGGCGCAGTGGCAGCGCCTATCAGTTCTTCGTGTTTTAAAACTTAAGTGGCACAGCAACTGTTATGGACAGGCGTATCGCTTACCACCAGACCTTAAAAAAGGAAAGACGGTCCACTAAAACACATGTAAATTTTAGACTATTTTAAATTAACTTAAAACTTAGTTAATTACTTCGTTACTTAATTCACGTAACCCAGCCAGAAGCAAACTTTATTTTAACCTTGTGACGATGCGACCTCCTCCACCATCTCACCTTTTCTCTGGTTCCTGGCCATTCATTTTCAATCGTTCTCTAATTCTGTTGCCTTGTCATTCTCACTTTGTTTCATTCCGTCGTCCCTTTCTGCTTAATCGTTGAATGGAGCACGTCTTCTCCGCTAATTTTGAACTGTTTACCAGTTACCAAAATCTCTTGTGCGATAAACATTAAAAGATCACAGAAACTTTATTTTTTTTTTTATAAAACCGGATTTATTTCCACAATTTTTTTTTCCTTTTGAATTTTAAACTTAAAACCCGCTAAGCATAATAATAAGTGTGGAGATTGTGGCTACATTACAATCTACAGGACATGCTTAAGTGGTGCCAGCAGTGCGTAACAACCCTTTCAACCTTTTGTCCACAATCAAACAAAATAATGAAATAAACACAAATTGTTTTTTATAAAATGGTTTTGCTGCTTGCAAGAGTTACTTTTATATCAACGTAAAACGCAAATCAGGAAACGCGAAAGTCGTAATGATACCTATTACTTGCAGAAATTGCTATCCGCGCCATCTAACAAATACTAATTTAAAGATATACAATACATCGATCTGTTTGCAACTAAACATCGTCGTTAACGCCTTTACGTACGCCTTTTAGTGTGTGAGGGGTATGCAATAGACCACGGACTTAAATATAATACACGTAAAAGCCAATACATGGTATTTGGGAACGGGCGTAAGTATAGCTCTGAGCTACCTCAAATCAAACTTAATGGTATAGACCTTCAGAGGGTAAATCAATTTAAATATCTAGGGCATATACTTACGCCTGATCTCAATAACAATAAGGACATGGAAAGGGAACGTAGGGCTCTGTCGGTCAGGGCGAATATGATCGCACGCAGATTCGCAAGGTGTTCGGGAGAGGAAAAAGTAACGCTCTTTAGAGCGTACTGTACCTCCTTTTATACCTGTAGTCTGTGGCGAGAGTTTACGAACCGGGCCTACAGGGCCCTACGGACTCAATACAATAACGCGTTCCGGGTGTTGATGGGGCTGCCCCGCTTCTGTAGCGCATCAGGGATGTTCGCCGACGCGCGCGTGGACGGCATGGACGCCACTGTGCGCAAGAGGTGTGCGTCCCTGGTGCGCCGCGTGCGGGCCAGCCCCAACTCCGCTCTCCGTGTCATAGGGGACAGGGATGACTGCCCCTATATTAGGCATTGCTGCGGGTTACATGCTCCCAAGCATGTAATCAGATTTTAATTTAAGTTCAATTTTAATTTTAATTTTATTTCAATATTAATTTTATTTCAATTTTAATTTATTTTCAATTTTAATTTAACTTCAATTTTCATTCAAATTCAATTTTAATTTAAATTCAATTTTTAATTTTAAGTTTTACTAACTTTAGATTAAGTTCACATGTATGTACTAACAAGTGAGTCTATTGTTACTCGAAATAAAAAGTTATTATTATTATTATTATTATTATTTACAGTGATAGGTTGTAATATGACAAAGCCTATTGTGTGCTTTAAGAGTCTATACCACCTCAAATGGCCGCATAACAGTGAAAGCGTTGAATCAATTACTTTGAAAAAAATATATTTTAAAATTGAGTATACAGGGTGTAACCGCAAGGTGTAGTCATATTAAAGGAGCCAAACCTATACTTGATCTAGACCCTCTGTGCAAAATATCAAATAAAAATAAGTGACTTTTAATGTTGATATAACTTTAATTATGTTTGTATAAATAGTGATTGTCCGAAACAACCACTGCGTCACAACTCTATTGCTAGTTACGTTACTACGACTTCACAAATTCATTAATGAAACCTGGGCGGCCGCAAGCGGGGCGAGAACAGCTGACTACAATTGAAATGCCACTGTAAAAACATGATTTGAATATGTTGATAACACGTTAATATTAAGTAACAAAATCTTTAAATACCTAGAAAAATCGAATTATTTCTAACAATATTATTTTATACCATACCTAGGTACGTACTTATTTACATACAATTTAAAGGATATTTATTTACTAATTAAGCCCGTAGTTACGCACGCCTTCATCGTATACACATTCTACATAATTTTGTATTAATACATTTATTTACGACAATTTTACAATAGTGGATACTTTTTTAATTGGTACTTACCTACTGTGCAATTCATACACGTTTTAATGAATTTCCTACGAATTGTAATTCACTGTTGTACAATGTACGAAATATTGACTTGTTTACGATAATTTTGAATAATAAGTACAATCACTACACGCACTGCTGGCACATTTCACACATTTACAGGTAAGGTTCAAAATGCCGACCTCCATGCAATATGCATATTTCCGTGTGTCGGTACAGAGACTGCTCTACTCTTTGAAGCATCTGCCGAGTGATTTGACTAAACGCCATTTCGATCCGCTGCCTCATTTCTTCTGCGCTTTCACAGGACTCCGCATAAACAATATTTTTATATGACCCCACAAAAAAAATCGAGCGGTGTCAAGTCTGGGGACCACGCTGGCCAGGGTACAGGACCTCCCCGCCCAATCCACTGCGGGAGACGGTCGTTCAGATGGGAACGTACATTTCGAGCAAAATGTGCGGGTGCTCCATCGTGCTAGAAAGTCATCCCGTGTTCCATCACGAGTCTCACGTATTGTGTCACTGGCAGGGCCATCAGAACGTCACCCAAGTCTTCTGTTAGGAATCTTAAATAATTGGCCCCATTCAGACTTGCCGGCAAAAACACTGGACCGATGACGGCACAACCTATTATACCAGCCCACACGTTAATCCGCCACTGGTGTTGAAAATTTGATTCCCTTGATACGCGGGGATTCAAATGAGTCCAAAAATGTTCATTATGCATATTGATAATGCCCGCACGCTATGACGCCTCGTCTGTCCACAGTACCGACGAAGCGAAGTCGGGAGACCTCCCAACCTGGTCGCGGTACCAGCGGCAAAATGCCAAACGTAGATCATAGTCCGCTTGTAACAGCTCCTGCGTTCTTTGAAAATGGTATGGGTGCTGGCCATCATCCCGTAGCACACGCCACACACTCATATGGTTCACACCACCAAAGGCTGCCGCAGCACTACGAGTACTTGTCTTTGGATTGCCGAGAAAATGTTCCAAAACATCTGCCTCGAATTCTGGGTCTCGTGAACTCGGCCGGCCTTCAGAACTGGAACCACGGAACGATCCACTATTATGAAGTCTCATAACCATCTTCCTGAAGCATTCCACAGCAGGAAATGGTCGACGTCGATTTTCTGGGACGCCATCAATAAACTTTGCCCAATAAATTTGGCGAGGTTGGCGCAAGCTCCCATCGGCTGCGCCTACGCACAACATCATCTCTTAGTAATCACTATTGCTTAAGCGTGACATAGTTTAAATAAACACAAAAACAAGACACAAACAAAACG